CTCATGGACATTCACCTACCTCTGCCTCCTGAAAAGATGCTTTTTTTATTATCCTCCTATACACACAATCCTCTCAATCCCTGTTGCCTTCATCTGAAGTATCTGTATGTACTATACACCCAGCACTACACAAATGCACATTTACCCAGCATTACACAAACACACTTACCCAGCACTTAACACACACTAACCCAGCACTTCCCACACACTAACCCAGCACTAGACAAACAAAAACACCTGGATGGTTTTGCTGCAAGGAATTTGCAGCCTCCACTACTTTAGCCTCACAAAAGGAACTCACCAGCCTAGATTTACCCTCTAGTTTCATTCTCCAGGATGTAGATTATCTCCTCTTATTCAACCATTCCCCACAGAACAATCTCCAACACTCCATGAGTCTTCTGTGTTGGCTAGTCTTATGTCGATTTGACACTCAAGCTAGTTATCTGAAAGGAGGGAACCTCAACTGAGAAAATGTCTCCATATAATCCAGCTATAAGGAATTTTCTTAACTACTGATTGAAGAAGGAATGCCCAGCCCATTGTGGGTGGGGCCACCCCTGGGCTGGTGGTTCTGTAAGAAAGCAGGCTGAGCAAGCCATGGGGAACAAGCTAGTAAGCAGCATCCCTCCACTGCTTCTACATCAGCTCCTGCCTCCAGGTTCCTACCCTGACTAGCTTCAATGATGAATAGTAATAAGGAACCATAAGCCAAATAAACCCTTTCCACCCCAACTTGCTATTTGGTCATGGTATTTTGTTGCAGCAATAGAAACCCTAACTAAGACACCTTCTTAACTCTCTTGCCTCTTGGATCTATACAGTCTCCAAAGATAAGACTGAGATCTACCAACCATTGGTCACCTATCTGGGCCTCTCAATTTCACTAGAAGGGAGAACTATTCCCCAAACTAAGATAGAGTAACTCCTTGTCTACTCATCCCACAAACCAAAGGCAAACTGTTTTATATTATTAGACTTTTATAATTCCTTTTGAATATGGATTCCCAAATTCTCCCTTGCTACTCAGCCTCTTAATGAAGCCACTAACAGGCTCTTAGAGGAGTCACTCCTCCCTCAATCCATCCTTTCTCCTATAAAACCACTGAAATCTACTCATTCCTTCACTTCTATTAGCACTTCCAGATCCAAACAAGAATTTCTGTCTCTTTTTAAATGTTAACTAAGGAACACCATGCCAAAAGTCCTACAACCTATTTCTCAATCAGCTCGACATGGTCACCAGAGACTGGCCACTCTCCCTCCAGACCAAGGCCATGGGGGTTATTACCAGAGGCAAACAAAATCTTACTTCACAGCTCCCTAACACTGCACACTCACTCAAGGACCTAATCAGTCACCACATTTTCCTAACCAACCCCAATCCATGGTACAGCTTTTCCATGCTTGCTTATTAGATCCTAACCTTGTATATGAGCCACACTCACTCCTCAACCTCAAAACACACCTCCTCTGTAACCCTCCACACCTGCACATCCCCTTCGCTCTTTCTCTGAGACACCTGATTTCTCCTCTTAAGTCTTCTGCCCATATTTTCATTATCACCTGCAACAGGTCCCTAGTTTGTTTATAAATGGTAGTGCCCTAAAACAAGCCCCATACACAGCACAATACACTATATTTCAAGGAGATCCAGCTACACCCACAAGCCCACACATACTAGAGATTAAATCCCTAACCTCTCACACAACTTCCAACAGGCAGAACTGATTGCTTTTAACCAGGTCCTCATACCTGCTTCCAACCTTATAGTCAGTATATACATGGACTCTAAATATACTTCAACATCTTATTCCAGAGAGAAAAGGGCTTCCTAACCCAAAAGGGAACATCAATTACTAACTCCCTTTTAATACAGGAACTCCCTGAAGCAGCTCTTCTTTTCACCCAAGCAGCCAATCCCTACTTCAGTGACATGAAATGGAAAAATGACATATCTCTCTTCTAAACAACAAGGTTGATCAGATGGCCCAACTGACTGCCCTGTCATATCCTGATTCTACTGATGAGAAAACCTCCATTCTCAGAGTCATCTTGTATGCATAGATGCTCTTTCCTCATGAAACCTGTCTGATGGCTGGCATCTTGACTTATCTATACTCTGAGTCACCCTTCTAATCAAACTCTTCTCTCCTTTCTCTGAGGTTAACTGCCACTCATCTCCACTGAGGGACTATTTCTAAAAAGACTAACCAAGTCCCATGAGACCTGCCAAAACACAAATCCTAACCCCAACTTCTTCCCTCCCCAGTTTCCATCTCACCAAATGACAGTTCATTCACCTTTCCTAGATTAGCAATTAGCAATTCATTATATTCTAGTCAGGAGACACAAATACTTACTAGTATTTGTAGATACCTTTTCAGGATGAGTTGAGGCCTTCCCAACCACAAATAAGAGGGCCCACACTATAGTTTACACACTACACTCTCAAATCATCCCTCGCTTGTCCTCCTGCATAGTTAGACAATGGCCTTGAGTTCATCTCAACGACTCAAACTGCCACCCCCCCATCCCACATCTCTTAGTGGCCCCAACCCCCCCAGGGGAAATGGAGAAGATGGATAGGACCATAAATGACTCCTGGCTTCATCTTTTCATGCTCAAAAAGGGCCCACATTCCTAGGTCTCACCAAGCTCAAGAGAGCTAGGCTTCCAGTTTCTCAGCTCTCACCATCAGAGAGGCATACTATGTAGGACCAGAAACAAATTGTACCCACTTAGCTCCCAGGCTCACCAAGTTCCTCCAACAGAGACTACTAGCTTCTACTGCACAAAGTAACTGGCCATCCACTATCCAACCCAGAAGCAACTTCAATGTGCCCCTTCTACCACTGAGATCAAAGCACCTTTCTAGCAGGAAGCGTTGCCCCCAAACTATAACTCTTCCCCTTTTCCCTTTCTACCCTTCTGGAACTGGGTTATGCTGAATAATACCCTCAGGTCATGAGGAATTATGGCAGTCTGTATTGGGTGATAGCCCCACATAGAGAATTGCTATGCCCCATACTGACCATTCAGTTCAGAGTCACCTCCAGAAACAATGTGTCCAGGTAGCACAAGTAACACACCCTGCAGAACTGTGAGAGGGCAAGGCATTGCAAAGGCTCCTCCATCTTGCTGAGGTCATTTTAGGTTTAACTAGAAAATAACCTCCTCGGTGGAGAATCCCATAGAAAATTGCCCAATTAGGAACTCAAGGCCAACATGCCCCAGGTAACTTAGCTTCTTGCACAGAACCACCTCCAGCTAACCACTTACTTTAGCATGTGTTAAACTGCTTACTTCTGTGAAGCACCCCCTGCAGCTACCAAGCAAGACAGAACATGGTTTATGTTTTAACAAGCCCCTGGTCTAAATGTGCGGGGCTATACAAGCTACTAAATACACTGTAGTATAGTCCCAGTCAGCAAAATCCCCAAAATAGCTGTAACTGCCTGGTAGATACAAACATGCATGTGTGTACGTATGTTTTAAGTTTGGTTTTTGTTCCTGTTGTTTTGTTTTTTAGAGATAGGGTTTCTCTGGGTATATGTTTTAAGTTTAATTACTATGCCTAAGAGATTCAAGAAACAAAAATGTCTCTAACCTTTAAATCCCTTGCCCAAGGATATATACTTCCTGAAATGCTGGAGGCTATTATTTATGGAAGATAAGAAGCCACATGTTTTCATCCCCCCAAAAGAGTTTGTTTTATCCATCTGTACTGGGTATGCTTGATCACATGTTGGTGGGAGGAAACTAGGCAAGATATACATCAGGATGTATGCTTGTCCTTGACAGGATGTAGGGGGAGGTATACAGGCAGGATATTTGCTTGCCCCTGATTGGATGTAGGCATCAGACAAGAAATATGTTAGGACTTATGCTTGCTCCTGATTGGACCTGATGGGAAAGATGGTAGTTTATGGGTTTGCTTTTATAAGCCTCTATAAAATGTGACTCATTGCCATTTATCTGGGAACTCTGAAATAGACCTGGCCAGAGTCCATCATCCTGGCCAGTATTTAATTAAAGCTTGCTTCAAATTTGGCTTGGAAATTGTGGTAGCGGCAGGACAATGGTGGCACACGCCTTTAATCCCAGCACTTGGGAGGCAGAGGCAGGTGGACCTCTATGAGTTCTAGGCCCGTCTGGCCAGAGTGAGTTCCAGGACAGCCAGGACTATTTCAGAGAAAGCCTGTCTTGGGGTGAAAAAGTGGTAGTGTCTTATTCTCTACCAGTGGGATTAACAGTATGTTCCTCAGCCCCTCTGAATGAGCTTAACCCTCATGCCATGGAAAGGTTGGTCTCAGTCTGTTGAGATAGAGTCATCTGCTTCTCTGCTTTAGTTTTCTTACAGACACAAAGTCCGGTAAATCCTTTTTGGCATGTGTTTATTCCCAGGCATATGAAGATTTTGTTTTTAAACAAATGCTAATACCTGCAGAGATCCACATAAGCTCTATTTGCCTCAAAGCTCATCTGCACAATGAAGAAGCTAAGAGTCTGAGAATGCAGACAAAAGGAACTTACTTTGTCCATTTTACAGTGGGGCAACAGTCCCAAGCCATGAAGAATTGCTTAGCCCCAGCCTAACCATTCAGCTCTGCCCCCAGAAGTACTATGTCCAGGTAGCACAAGCAACTTAGCCTGTCAAAACACAAAACAGCTGTGTCCTCGTAGACTCAGACATACCTAACATTACATTAGAGACTTGAGTCTCAGTCTTGCTACCCCCATACTAGGTATGCTGCCTGATTTCTGAGTCTCTATTTCCTAACACATAAAATGGGAATGAACATGCACTTCTAAAGAGGATGGTGACAATTTGCATAAAGCACACAGATATGGCCTGACAGATGTTGCTTCCTTGTCTTGGCAGTCTGGGCAGGAACCAAGACAGCAGAGCAGGAATAAACCCTTGGTAAGCAGAAAGGCATAAACACATCAGGACTCTGTGACCTCATTGTTCATAATAAGAATACAGATGCACTCACTTCTGGCAGAGTTGGTTGAAAAGAACTTTAGGGGAAAGTGGTCCTTTTTCAGCCTCTTTCATGCTGTGAAGAAACAGGAACAAGGCTGAAGTCAATGGTCCAGGGCTCGAAAGTTCCACCACTAACGGATCCTTTGAAAACATGACCAATGCTACATCAGAAATACATAATTTTCAAACAAAATATTATCAAGAATATTAAACCTATACCTTATTTAAATAATAGTACAAGTGTATTAAGTCCTTCATATATAAAATATTTAAAATAGAAAACAGGATCAAATGCTGTAACTGGCCTAGTAGAATCACAGGCATTCTAAAGAGACTAGAGTTACTCAATTTGACTATATTGCAGTGGAACAATGGACCCCCAAGAACAGAGGATTTCCCCAGGAATAGTGCCAGACAGAGGGGGAACTTGATTTCAAACAGTTCTAATCCCCTTCCAGAGCCCTTTACAGGGTGAGACTGGAGCCCTATTCCCAGGTCCTCTGTTTAAACTGTCCTCACTTCAAACCCAAAGGTGGACTTCAGGGTTTGCTGGATCCCTTCTGCTCCAAATGTGGTCATGCTGAATAATTCTTATTTTCTGCTTTTCACTTTTAATTTGCCCCCCCCCCTTTTTTTTTTCTTTAAGTTGGTATATTGAGGAGGACAACCAACCAGACTTGACTTGGGGCAAAAATTGTAAGTTGTAACCCCACCCCAAGGTTGATAACAATGCCTTGTTTAAAAAAAAAAATCAAAACAAAAAACACACAGTATTTTCAATATCTTCTGCCTTTTACTTAACAAAACCACAAGTCTGAGTGAAATCACCAATCCTAGGTTGAAACAACCTGTCTTTTCTGCAATCAAGATTATAAATATACTTGGTATTTGTACAAACAAATTCACAAATAAATACAAATTATATGCCAGAACTTCACCTTAACTACAAAATTTGGACTTTGGTTGGGTAATCTGGCATAGAATCTAAAGAAATGAGGATTTACTCTTGACACAAGCCATCTGCAAACAGAAACTCTACCAGACTACCTCAGCAAGTCTAATCTATGGAGAGGGCAGAGAGGCCTGAGGTTAAGCTTTCTAAAGTGTCATGTTAGCCAGAGGGGGCGTTGGGTTTTCTAAACGGCAAACTTGTTTCATCCATATTTAGATAAATTATGAAACGACCTTACTTTGTTCTTACTTTGTCCCAGGCTCAGAGCCCTAGCCTGAGCTTGCCTTACCGTGACACTGAGGAACATAGCTTTGGGTGTTACGGGCCAGATTCTGACTGTCAGCGATTGCTCTTCTTGCTACTGTCTCTCTTTCTCATTTGCTTACAATTCCAACCTCAGACTAGACTTTTAACAACCTTTATAAGAAGAGCCTGTGAGATGGCTGTTTGGCGGGAAGAGGCACCTGCTGTCAAGCCCAATGACCTGGGTTCAATTCCCAGGAGCCACACTGGAGAGAAGAGAACCCCATAAGTTGCCCTCTGACTGCACATCTGTATCATGGCAGACATGAACATATACACAAAATCAATGAACTATTAATAAAAAATACTTTAAACCAAGAGGCTGGAGAGGTAGCTCAAAGGTTAAGAGCACTGGCTGTTCTTCCAGAGGTCCTTAGTTCAATTCTTAGCAACCACATGGTGGCTCACAACCATTTATAATGAGATCTGGCGCCCTCTTCTGGCCTGCAGGCACACATGCTGGCAGAATACTATATACATAATGAATAATAATTCTTAAACAACAACAAAACTTTAAACCAGCCTGGCAGTGGTGGCACATGCCTTCAATCCTAACATTTGGGAGGGAGAGGTAGGCATATTTCTGAGTTCAAGGCCATCCTTGAACTACGGAAAAGCCAGGGTTACACAGTGATACCCTGTCTCAAAACAAACAAAATTAAACCTTCGATATTAAATATTTAAATCTAATTTTAAAGAACAACAACGTCAACAAACTCTAATTTTTTTTAAAGTCACTGTTAGCTATAAGGCAAGAGCTTAGACATTTTGCTCAATAAAAGTTCTGACTCTTCTTTTTTCCAGAATGTGTAAATAAAAACAGCCTCATTAAAAAAAAAAAAAAACAAAAAATTGACCTATAATGTTTCTGAACCGTAGCATACCTTACAGCTACAATTTCTGAAAATTTATCTATTTATTTCTACAAGATACTTTTGAATTGTGTTTTGAAGCCCCAGACTACAGTCCCATTTGGTAGCTTAGAGAAAGAGAAAAGAAATATTTTAGAAAAGACTATTATGTTTCTGTGGCTGTTACACTTGCTACTCACCAGCTGCAGAGCAGACGAAAGAGAAATCTTGAGTTTGGTGCCATCCTCTTTTATCTCGTTCATCAGTTCAAAGAGAATGTGAGTCTGCGCCAAGTTCTAAATAAGAGTCAAGTGTCCATTCATTGTGTTTTGACGTGATGACATCAGTGCTGTTAGTTTTCTGACGTGATGACGTCAGTGCTCTCTGTTCGGTTAGTGTGGTTCTGACGTGATGACGTCAGTGCTCTCAAAGCTCCCAAACTCATCCAGCACAGCAAAACATGTCTACTTAAAGACGTAACTGAACACTCTTCATGTTTTCTGCCAGTATGACTAATGAAACTATAAAACGACAGACTTCCAAGTAGCACTGTTGAGTACACATATGATAATGACCAACAACTGCCCCAAACAAAGAAAAACTGAAAGACCTTTCTAGAATAACATCTTAGAGTCTACACTACAGGTGCATGTATGCTCACATTAACTGATTCAAATAATTATTTCCAGTTTATAAATCATTTGGATAACTTACCTGAATGACTGCATTAAAAAAGCAAGTATTTCCTAGATTTGTAATTCCTTTAACAGATGGCACACAGCTGCCTTTTCTCTCTTTCTTTATTTCCCCTGTTTCACGTTTTTCTTCACAAAGTTTTATGATTCTAGAAAATGCACCTATGAAACATAAGTTACAGAAAACTTACATGAGATGTAAAATTAAATGTGTCACTTGACAATTTAAATATATCATTTAAAATCAAATAAGACTGAACCTTTGAATTAGTGTTCCTGAAGGACAAGACCACAAACACAGTATCTTTTGTTTTATATTTTGTTATTCTATTGAACTCATTTTAGTATAGCTATCTGTACCTTTACATCATGTTATAGAATAATTTCCTGATGAGTTTAAAAGCTTAAAGTGAAAACAAACAGAAAAGATCTTCCTTCTGAATACAATCCCCCACAAGTAAAGAAATGAGTGCTTAAAGACAAACTATGTCAAGCCTTTGGGTAGGCAAGTTGAGAAATGAGCTTAAAAACTGTTCTTCCACCAAAGAATAAGGAAGGGCTCAGAATAGTAACGAACACTTGGGCAATGGGAGGTAGGATGATCAGAGATCCAAGGCTATCTTCAACTACAAATAAGAGTTTGTCAGCCTGGGCTACAAACAAACCAACCACCAGCTACAGGTTGCCTCATACAAATTGAGTATCAAAGTAAATAAGGGTAGTAAAATAGATTACAGAATGAATGCATATTGATAATAGATTTTTATGAGATTAAATGGTGAGAGGAAATTTTTCTAATTTAAAAATATTTAATATTGGTATTCTGCCTGCATGTATGCCTGTGAACTACTTAGCATACCTGATGCCCACAAAGGCCAAAGAGGGTATTGGATCCCCTGGGAATACAGTTGGAGATGGTTGTGAGCCATCATACGTATCAGGGGAAAGCAAACACAGGTCCTCTGAAAGAGCAGGAAGAGCTCCTAACTCCTGAGCCATCTCTTCAGCTCCATGAGGGAAAATTTTTCTTTCTTTTCGAGACAGGGTCTCACTATGTAGTCCTGGCTGCCCTGGAACTTTTTCTGTAGACCAGGCTAGTTTCTAACTCACAGAGATTCACCTGCCTCTGCCTCCTGAGTGCTGGGACTAAAGGAAAGCATTATCGCACCATGCTCAGAGGGAAAACTTCCCATGAAAAGATGACAACTAGGAAACAGAAGAAAGGACCAAGTCAGGAAACTACCACCTTACAGTGATGCCTTTCAGTAAAATGGGTAACTTTCCTATGTGTTTGAAAATTTAAGAGTTAAAACAGTTAATGGGGATCTCTGCGGGTCCACTTGGAGTTCCTGCAGGCAAGATCCTTGACCCCCAAAGCCGGGCCCCTGCCCCCCCCCCCCCCCCCCCCCCCCCCCCCCCCCCCCCCCCCCCCCCCCCCCCCCCCCCCCCCCACCCCCCCCCCCCCCCCCCCCCCCCCCCCCCCCCCCCCCCCCCCCCCAGCGCCCCCCCCCCCCCCCCCCCCCCCCCCCACCACCCCACACACACAACCCCCCCCCCCCCCACCCCCCCCACCCCGCCCGCCCAGAGGGAGAGGGGGGGCACCCCCCCCCCCCCCACCAAAAAAAAAGGGGAAGGGGGGAAAAACAAAGACCACCCACCAAAAAAAAAAAAACACAACCCCCCCCCACAACAAGGGAATCCACACCAACCAGAAAGGAACACAACAACAAAGCGGAGGAAGCAGAAGGGTACGACTTAAAAATCACCATCATAAAAATGATAGAGGCCCTCAAAGAAGATATGAGAAAATCCCTTAAAGAAATAGAGGAAAAAACAAACAAAAAAGTGGAAGAAATGAACAAATTCCTTAAGGAAAGAACAGAAAGCCAAGAAAAAACAATTAACCAGGTGAAGGAAACGGTTCAAGATTTGAAAACCGAAATTGAGAAAATAAAGGCAACACAAAAGGAAGGAAAGCTGGAAATTGAAAAGCTGGGCAAAAAATCGGAAACCACGGACACAAGCATAACCAATAGAATTCAAGAGATGGAAGAGAGAATCTCAGGCGCAGAAGATAAACTAGAAGAAATAGATTCATCGACCAAAGAAAACCATAAATCCAACAAATCCTTAACACACAATATCCAGGAAATGTGGGACACCATGAAAAGGCCAAACCTAAGAATAATAGGCATAGAGGAAGGTGAGGAAGCCCAGCTCAAAGGTGCTGAAAACATATTCAACAAAATCATCGAGGAAAACTTTCCAAATCTGAAGAAGGACACGCCCATGAAAGTACAAGAAGCATACCGAACCCCAAATAGGCTGGACCAAAGAAAAAAGACCCCTCGACATATAATAATCAAAACACCTAGCATACAGAATAAAGAAAGAATATTAAGAGCAGCGAAGGAAAAAGGACAGGTAACATATAAAGGCAGACCTATCAAAATTACACCTGACTTCTCCATGGAAACCCTCAAGGCCAGAAGGTCCTGGATAGATGTTCTAAAAGTATTAAGAGAACACGGATGCCAGCCTAGGCTACTATATCCAGCAAAACTCTCAGTCAATATAGATGGAGAGAACAAGATATTCAATGACAAAACCAGATTTTCCCAATATGTATCTACAAATCCAGCCCTACAGAAAGTATTGGAAGGAAAATTCCAACCCAAGGAAGGTAACTACGCCCACAAAAATGTAGGCAACAGATAATCCAACTACACCAGAAACCTAGGGTGAAGCAGAACAAATATATTCACAATACCACTGCCAACAACAAACCTAAATCAAACAACCATCAACAATCAATGGTCCTTACTCACCCTCAACATTAATGGTCTTAACTCACCTATAAAAAGACACAGATTAACAGAATGGATACGAAGACAGAATCCATCCTTCTGCTGCATACAAGAAACACATCTTAGCTCCAAAGATAGACATTACCTCAGGGTAAAGGGTTGGGAAAAGATTTTCCAATCAAATGGAAATAAGAAGCAAGCAGGCGTAGCTATCCTAATATCTAACAAGCTAGACTTCAAACCAAAACTAGTCAAAAGAGATGAAGACGGTCATTTCATATTCATCTCAGGAGAAATCCATCAACACAAAGTCTCAATTCTGAACATCTTTGCCCCTAATACAAAGCCACCCACATTCGTAAAAGAAACACTACTAAAACTCAAAGCTCATATAAAACCTCACACACTTATAGTGGGAGACTTCAATACACCACTCTCAACACTAGACAGGACCACAAATCAGAAACTCAACAAAGAAACAAAAGAATTAACAGAAGTTATGTCTCAACTGGGGCTAACAGACATCTATAGAACATTCCATCCAAAGACAAAAGAATATACCTTCTTCTCTGCTCCACATGGAACCTTCTCTAAAATCGACCACATACTAGGAGACATAACAAACCTCAACAGATACAAGAGAATAGAAATAGTCCCCTGTATCTTATCGGACCACCATGCTTTAAAATTGGAATTCAACAACAATACAAATAGCAGAAAACCTGCAAACTCATGGAAACTTAACAATGTGCAATTGCACCACTCCTGGGTCAAAGAAGAAATAAAGAAAGAAATTAAAGACTTTCTAATATTCAACGAGAATGAGGATACAACATACCCGAACTTATGGGACACCTTGAAAGCAGTGCTACGAAAGGAAGTTCATTGCACTAAGTGCCCATATGAAGAAAACAGAGGATAGTCACATAAATGAATTAACAGCCCAACTGAAAACCTTAGAACAGAGAGAAGCGAATTCACCCCGCAGGAGCAGACGCCAGGAAATAATCAACTTGAGGGCTGAAATCAACAAAATAGAAACCAGGAAAACAATACAAAAAATCAATGCAACAAAGAGTTGGTTTTTTGAGAAAATCAACAAGATTGATAAACCTTTATCCAAATTAACGAAAAAGCAGAGACAGAACATGCAAATTAACAAAATCAGAAACGAAATGGGGAACATAACAACAGACACAGAGGAAATCCAGACAATTTTCAGGTCATACTTCGAAAATCTGTATTCCACAAAAATTGAAAATTCAAAGGAAATGGACAAGTTTCTGGATAACTATCACTTACCAAAATTAAATCAAGAACAGACAAACAACTTAAATAGACCTATAACCCGAAATGAAATAGAAGCAGTCATCGAAAGCCTTCCAACCAAAAAAAGTCCAGGGCCAGATGGATTCAGTGCAGAATTCTACCAGACATTCAAGGAAGAACTAATACCACTACTCCTCAAACTGTTCCACAAGATAGAAACAGAAGGTTTATTGCCAAACTCTTTTTATGAGGCCACAATAACTTTGGTACCCAAACCTCACAAAGACACAACTAAGAAAGAAAACTACAGACCAATATCCCTGATGAACATCGATGCAAAAATACTCAATAAAATAATGGCAAACCGAATTCAAAAATACATCAGAGAAATCATCCACCATGATCAAGTAGGCTTCATACCTGGATTGCAGGGATGGTTTAACATACGAAAATCTATCAACGTGATCCACCATATAAACAAACGGAAAAAGAAAAACCATATGATTATCTCCCTAGATGCAGAAAAAGCCTTCGATAAAATTCAACACCCTTTCATGATAAAGGTATTAGAGAGGTCAGGGATAACAGGAACATACCTAAACATAACAAGAGCAATATACAGCAAACCAACTGCCAACATCAAACTGAATGGAGAGAAACTTAAGCCAATTCCTCTAAAATCAGGAACAAGACAAGGCTGTCCTCTCTCTCCATATCTCTTCAATATCGTACTAGAAGTTCTAGCTAATGCTATAAGACAACAAAAGGAGATCAAGGGCATCCAAATTGGAAAGGAAGAAGTCAAACTGTCTCTATTTGCAGATGATATGATAGTTTACATAAGCGACCCAATAAACTCTACCAGGGAACTCCTACAGCTAATAAACACCTTCAGCAAACTAGCAGGATACAAGATAAACTCAAAAAAATCAGTAGCCCTATTTTTTTCAGACGACAAAGAGGCAGAGAAAGAAATCAGAGAAACATCACCCTTTACAATAGCCACAAGCAACATAAAGTATCTTGGTGTAACGCTTACCAAACAAGTAAAAGATCTATATAATAAGAACTTTGTGACTCTAAAGA